AACTCACTTAACTCCCATCCTATGACCGCCCCATCCAATTATGGTATCTGCCAAAAGTCCATTATGATCTCTATCAGGTCCAGACCTGGCTACTCTCAATCCAGTGAACTATAAACCAAATAGAAAATTATCTGCCTTCCACAAACCTGAGGTACACAGCATTTTTATATCTTGAAATGTTCCAGTCTCTTTTAGTCTAGACTGGAAGCACTTTTGTTACAATGTGTGTCCCCCAAACTTTCTGGCCTTTCTACTTATTTGATTCCAATTAACTTCATATGCCAAAAGGGACATCCACAATTTTCTTTTTTTAAGATAAGCCTTTATTTTTCTCAACTTAATTACCTCACTTCGCACACATTCACGCTTCTGTAACGCTTTGCCCTTAAGATTTCTGACAGCTCTTCTGTCCATCTGAAAGAATCTACAAGATACCTTTTAGTTCTTTAAAAATATTATAACTACATTCTAGGTTTGGTCTTTACCTGGAGGTCATGTCAACACCATGGATTTCACTTTTGCTTGAGCTGTGTTTTAATGCCTATATCATTGGTTTGATAAAATTATTCCTGAATTCATCTATTTCTTGTAGCATCTTATTAAATGCAGCTTATGCTTTCGACATTCTGCCTCAATTTTTTTTTGCCCAAATGTCTCTGTTAATTAGGTACCTTTTCTATCCTCTAAGTTATCTCAGGTGACAGTTTTACCAAATGTCTTTCTACTAAACACAGACTGCTATTTTTCTAGCCCCCTATAACAATTTTCTGTTGCCTACCACCCGATCCCAGGACCAATGCTGCTTCTAGGTACTAATTTCTGTATCAGTTAGCTATTGCTGCTTAACAAATAGCCACAAAAATCTCAGTGGTTTATAATAATAAGCTTCCATTTCACTCCCTGATCTACAAGTCTGAGATGGTTCTGTCAGGTTGCAGTTCCCTTAGACCTGGCTCTACTCTGAGGGTCTCTGCCACAGAGCAAGGCCAAACTCAGAAGCACGTTTCAGTCTCTGTTCACTGCCAGTAAAACCCCATTGGCTAAAGCCAGTCATATGCCCAAGTCCAAAGTCAAGGGGCAGGAGAGTATACTTCATTGTCATAAGGTCACGTTGAGGGTATGAATTTACAATATTATTACACTGAAGGGAAGAATTGAGATCAATAATTCAATATTTCACACTAAGTAAAATTTTATTTGAGTAAGGGTTTCTATGCCTACAAATATTTTAAATTCCTAGCCTAGATGATTTCTAAAGTCTCTTACTTGTTTGAAATGCCATGGAAATAGAAAGAACATTTGCATGGAAAAGGGCAAATCAGCAAATATAGAAAGAGGCCAGTTTTTTTTGGCAAAGCACTGGGGGTGGTTTTGGACTTCATCAAACACCTGAAAAAAGTGCAAGAAAGGAGTTTATGAAGATGCTGCACAATTAACCAGCTTATCCAGAATCAGCCCACGACTTCTTATGGGATAGCATATTTTCCTTGCATGCCGTGAGTTGTTCAGGTCACACAGACTCATTCAATTGTAAGTTCAAAAATATACTCTAGCACAACAGTGTTCACAGCACTACTATTCACAGGAGCCAAAAGATGGAAACAACTCAATGTCCATTGACAGATGAATAGACGAACAAATGTGATATATACATACAATGATTGTTCAGTCTTACAAAGGAATGGAATTCTGACACATGCTACAACATGGAAGAACTTTGAAAACATTTATACTAAGTGGAATAAGCCAGACACAAAAGGATTAATATTGCACGACTCCACTTAGATGAGGAATCTAGAGTAGTCAAATTCATAGCGACAGAAAGTAGAATGGTGGTTATGGTGGATGGGGACAAAGAAATAGGGAATTATTGCTTAATGGATACAGAATTTCTGTTTGAGATGGTGAAAAAGCTCTGGTGATCAATAGTGGTGATGGTTGTACAACAATGAGAATGTACTTAAAGCCACTGAATTGCACACTAAAAAAATGGTTAAAATGGTAAATCTTACATTATATATATTTTACCACAATTAAAAAAAAGATTTGCTTCATAGAAAAAAAATATATATTCTAAAGCTAGATACAAATAATTAGGGCAATCTACCCGACCGTACCCCTATACATAATGGGTAACTGAAGAGTTGACCATAATTAAATCTTAGGCTAAAGAAAAATGAGATTGAGAAGCGCTGAGAAACTCTTATGACACATCTATAGTCCAGATGAGACTGGGCATGTTCAGGGTGGTATGGCCATAGACTCACATCCATAGTTCAAATAAAATTAGATACCTACAAAAATATGATAAACCTGTTATGACTGAAAATTCACTTATTTCAAGTTTATATTCTTGCTCAGAAAACCAAAAGACAGATCAGAACAGCAGTTTTTATGTCACCACTTGTGTCTTTGGGAAGTGTGGTAGGCATGGAAACACAATGTTCAGATCTCCCTCAAGAAGAGGGAGGCAGGAGGGACCTTTGGGTGGTGATAGATGTGTCTGTGCCTTGATGGTGATGGTTTCATGGTTGTTTACTTCTCAAACTCCTTGAACTGCATCCGTTAAGTGTGTACAGCTTTTTACATGTCAATCATACTTCAATAAAGTGGTTTTAAAAAGAGCAAGAGTCTATTTGTGGAGCACAGCTCATAGACAGCCTCTAGCTACTGTACCTTCAGAATCCACCAACAGTGTCCACGCTGAGGTGACAACCTGGGCATCTCTGATGATGGAGCTTGGTGGAGTACCAGGGATGGGCCATGCCTGCTTAATATGGGACTCTTCGAATGGGTAATCTTTGTTCTGGGGTGCTTGACCTACATAATTTTGAAGTATGGTAAAATGTTTATGATTTGCAAGTTTTTCTCTTACATCCAGTCCTGTCCCATTAACTCGACTCATGCATCTAACTGACTGCAGAACATCTCGACATAGGTGGCTAATAGGCATCTCGAATTTAACATGTCCAAAACTGAGCTCTTGATAGTCCCCTCCAACCTGCTCTTCCCTTTCCAGTTAAAGGCAATTCAATTCTTCTAGTTGCACAGGCCAAAAGCCTGGGAGTCATGCCTCACTCCCCTCTTCATCACACACTCCACATCCAACACGTTAGGAGACGCTACTGCCTCTACTTTCACAGTATGCCCAGATTGCACCCACTTGCCACCACCTCCACTGCTACGACGCTGCTCCAAGCTGCCATCACCTCCCCCCTGGACTGCTGCCAGTCTCCTACAAGTCTTGCTGCTGCTGCCCTGCTCAGCTAGTAAGGGATCCAGCTAAACTGTCAGTCAGATTCTCTCTCTCTTCTGCTTAGGATCCTGCAAAGACCTCCACCCCAACCAGTGGAAATAAATGCCAAAATTCATACTAGGACTTTCAAGGCCTCCCAACTTCTTCAGGCTCACCCCCTCTTCCTCTTATGCTCAGCTTCATGGCTTCCTCCCATTTCCTTAAACGGGACAGGCACAATCCTGTTCTTCATCCCAGCCACTCCCTCTGTTAGAATACTCTTTTCCAGGGACTCATGTGATTAGCTCCTTCAGATATTATTCAACAGTGAATTCTGGTAACTCTGTATGGTGATGGATGTTAACTAGACTTATTGTCATGATCTTTTTGCAATATATATAAATATCGAGTCATTATGGTATATACCTGAAACTAATATAATGTGTAAATTATACTTCAATTTTTTTTTAAAAAAAGCTCTTAAAAAGCTTTTTCTAAATACTGTATTAGTGAAAAAAACAAAATCTTTTACATAAAAAAAGTAAATCCTTCTGAGATCTTCCATTGACAGTACAACCTAAATTACAGTCTGTCACTCTGATATCTCATAACCCCATTCCTTGCTTTATTTTTTTATGAGATACAACTGACATACATCAGTGTCAGATATACAATATAATGATTTGATATTCGTATATATTGAGAAGTGATCACCACAATAAGTCAACATCCACCACTATACACAGTTGTGTATTTTTTTCCTTGTAATAACTTTAAAGATCTACTCTCTTAGCAACTTTCAAATACACAATACAGGATTACTAACTATAGTCACCATGCTATACATTACATCCCCATGACTTATTTATCTTATGGCTGGAGGTTGTACTTTTTAACCCCCTCCACCAAGTTTGCCCATTCAGCCTACCCCCAACCTCTGCCCTGCAACCACCAACCTGTTCCCAGTATCCATGAGTTCTTTTTCTTAGATTCCATATTTAAGTGAGATCACATGGTATTTATCTTTCTCTGTCTTATTTCACATTGCACAATGCCTTCAAGGTCTATCCATGTCAAAAATGGCAAGATTTCCTTATTTTTATGGGTAAATAATATTCCATTAAATATGGGTACGTGTGTGTGTGTATGGGTATGTGTGTATATATATTTGTCCATTCATCTGTTGATGGACACTTAGGTTGCTCCCATATCTTGGCTGTTATAAATAATGCTGCAATGAACATGGGGTTACATATATTTTTTTGAGTTAATGTTTTCATTTTCTTTGGATATGTCCATAAGAATTGCTGGATCACGTGGAAGTTCTATTTTTAATTTTTGAGGAAGCTCCATACTGTTTTCCATAGTGGCTACACTAACAGACATTCCCACCAACAGTGCATTACAGTTCCCTTTTAAAAATTCCACATCCTCACCAACACTTGTTATTTCCTGTCTTTTTTTATAACAGCCATTCTAGCAGGTGTGAGGTGATATTGTGGTTTTGACACATCACTCTGATGTTGAGCGCCTTTTCGTATACCTCTTGGCCATCTGTATGCCTTCTTTGGAAAACTGTCTATTCAGATCCTCTGCCCTTCCTGCTCTATTTTTGTCCTTAGCACGTATCACTGTTGAACATACTATATATTTTACTTATTTATTTTCTATTTCCCCCAGGCCAAAGGTAAGCTCCACCAGGCAAACAATTTTGTCTAATTTGTTTACTGCTACTTCTTCGGTATTTAAAACAGTACCATGCACATAGAGAGCACTTCAAACGTATTTATTGAAAGAAGTTCTCAGTACAGTTTACACTAACCCAACCAAAGGAAAGAATGAATATAAAAACACGGGGAGGGGAGATACAGCTAAAGAAAACTCTAACAACTAAGAGCTATAATTACAGCTTTCATTTAGTATGTCTTCTTTCAAACATTTATCCATAATTTGTCTAATTGCATTCTTGACGAATATCTGGATTCAACAAAAAAAGAGTGAACACACCAAACGAAATTCACTTATTTTTCACCATGTTCCTCTTTTGGTTTTGAGTCTTTACTCTCTTGCAGTCCTAAAAGAACTGCATCAGCCTCTAGGATTGTTGTATCTGTTGTCGCTCCCAGGAACCTAGATGTAAGTTCAAGATCTAATAGCCGCAGCCGGACTCTGGTTCCTATCTGGTATTTCCTAAACAGTAAGAAAAAAATACCATTAATTCTGCATATCATAAAATAAACAACTGGTTTCAAGTAAAATCCAAATTCTAATCTTAATTTGTGTTGGTTCAAGGTTAAGAAATTAACATTAATATCTGAGAAATTGTTGGTTTTGACAGAAAAGTAATTTAGTTGTATCAGAATTTTCATCTTAAAATTGCCTTTAAAGATTTTATAACCAGAAGTGTATTCCAAACTGAAATTCAAACAAGTCGGTTCTTGAAACTGACATTTGTTTTAATGTCATTCATTTTTAAAGTCAAAGAATATCAAGGGGAAAAAAATGTTTTCAGAAACATTTTGTCTTCTAAAATTAAAATCTTTTTCAAGTAAACGAAATTTTACAAAACAAAAATGGAAAAAAGCCTAAGTGCAAACTACTTCATATTGGGGATTGACTGCACTGTAATTAAAGTGTAATGATGGCCATAACAGGCATGATGGCTAAATCTGGTCAATAAAATAGTCAAGTATCTTACTATATCAAATGAAAACTGATACTCTTTCGTCTTTCTTCCTGATTAATTATTTTAAGGGTTTAACATCAACATTATGAAAAGGTTCAGGAGACTGCAAATATAGCTACTGAATGAAAACAACAATTCTTTACAAATCTAAATATTTACCTCAAGTACTCTAATTTTAAAATTAAAATAATTTTATATCAACAGAAAATGAAGAAACAAAGTTCTCCCCAAAGTCACTGGAAAATGATTTTGGTAGACCATATAACGAAGAGTGTTCACATAATGTTTGATTAGGTATTCTGGAGGAATTCATAAGTGGTCCATCAAGTAAACAGTTAGGCTATTTGGCTTTTTATTTTAAGCTATTTTTCTTTCTCATTACAGAAGTAAATGCCCCTTTGTAAAATAAGGAAAATCACGATGTCAGTCACATTTCCTAGTCCTTCTGTATGTATTTATATATACATATATGACAGCATAGATCATACTTTGCTTAGAAAAATTAAAGGGATCTCCTAGAATATTAATTAAGGAGCAGCTTTATATTCTTAGAAAACAGCAATTATAGAATATATTCCATATGAATTAACCACTGGGAAAATACAGTTGGTTCCCAGGCAAGGTGAAGCTGAACACTACCTCCTATATTACTTGGAGCTGTAACCTGTGTTCTGATGGACTCTCTCAGTTGTCCTCACAGCCCTACCTGAGTGATTCATTTCATCTGCTTTGATTCATGTTGCCTCCCCTTTCCAAGTTTCTCTGCTGCAACATCCAATTAGTTATTAAGTTCTGTTCATTTTTTAACACGGATATTTCTTGAGCTTAGCCTTTCAAGTCTCATCAGCCTTAGCTAAAGCCTGAGGTATGACATGATCCTCCCAGAGCCTACCTTTCCAGTCCATCTCTCACGATGGGTTCCTTATCTGTCCTGCTGAAGTGGAAATGACCTCATGTCCATTCCCGCACACTTCTACTCCACTGCACCTCTGTTTCTGTTGCAAGCACTGCTTGAACTTTCCTTCTAAATAAATCCTGTTGCCCCCGTGAGTATCCAGGTAGAATGCACCCAACGCGGACCCTGAGGGCCTCCGCACTCCCTTGATCAGAATGCAGACGCCCTCATTGGAATTCCCAAGGAAGACACAGGTTTCGAGGTCACAGATATGGATGCAAATCTGAGTCCTGTTGAGTACTACTTAGGTGACCTTGGGTAACTTGCTTTCTCTGAACAATTTCCTCATCTATATAACAGATTTTTAACTACTTCGCAGGTTGTTGGAAAGGTTAAATGGGGTAACATTGAAAACACAGAGCACGGGAAGTGTCATGTCAGTGCCCTTCACTCCCTTGTGTTGGTTAATCTGTGTCAGTCTGATTTCTCATTAGATCGTTTGCTCCCCAAGCCCTGGCACTGTTTATCTCTGTATCCTTCCAGTCCCAATGCAGCAGGTACTCAAATGTCTGTCAATAAATTAACACAACGCTTGCTGACAAAAGCCACCACTTCTCTGATTATCCAAACTCTCCATTCACTTGGCCTTAGCAGCTGTGTGGACAGGCTCATTTACTTAACCTCTCTGACGTCTGCTTGGCACGGTGCCTGGTGCCCAGTGCTTAATAATGTTAGTTCTCCTTCCATTGTTCACAGTTGGCCCTTTTTGTTTTTTAAACTTATTTTTAGGAGTATTACTCATAGGTAGACTATAAACTAACCATAATGAAGGGGAACATTGACTTTTTATAAAAAGAGTTGAACATTCGCCAACACTTCAGACAAAAGTTCTGGGCACAGTCACACTGAGGGGAAGCTCTCAGTGTACAGGGTTCTGTGTCATAGAAATGCTAGCGCTCTCCTGAGTGCCCACTATGCTTGGTAATTTATGGAAAGCAAAACTGTCCCTATTTTTAGGTACCTTTAACAGTAAACTTTAATAATATGAAAGTTTTGCCTTCATTTCTAAAAATTTTGGAAGTTCTAGAAGTCATCCAGTGAGTTAGTAAAGGAGATGAAAAGCAAAGTGCAGGCATTTACATGTGCTGAATGAATGAAGAATCATCCACATGTACATACTGTGCACTAAACAAAGCAAAACCCCTCTAGAAGATTCTCTGACTTCTGCTGTGTGGAAGCAGCTGCTTCTATGTCTTCGGTACTTAATTATTTCTAGGTGTTACCTTCCCTATCAGACTATCAGCTTGTTACTCATTAAGGGAAGGGCTTTAATCGCATCTGTGCCTCTCACAGGACCACAATACCGTGATGCATACACGTTTCACTTAATGTAGCCCTCTGAACAGTGCTTTTCAGACTTTCCAGTACTTCAGAAGCTCCTGGAGCGCTGGTTAAAAATGCAATGAAAGAAGCAACCCCAGAGAGTTCAGCTGGCAAATCTGGGGTGGGACTTGGAAATTCCCCTTTTTTGTTAAAAGCTCCCTGGGTGATTCTGATGTAGTCGTCTCTGATCACCACTTGAGAAAGATCTGACCTAGAATTACCTTTACTGTGTATGGGCCAGGATGTCCTACACACATGCAAAGGGCCAGAAGAATGAGGACCTCCGACAGAACTTTGTGTCCACCATTAACAGTTTTCAAGAGTAACAGATGTTTTCTATAAGTGATGACAAAGTCAAAAGACTTTTGAGTAATTTAGATAGACTAAAAGAAAAAAAAAAGTCAGGCAATGACAATATATACTGGAAAAATGCACCTAAAAAGAGTCCTTCGAGCAAAGCCCACTGACAGCTGGGGTGGGGCTGCCTCTCCCACACACACTGCCCTTTCTGGGAAGCCCAGGACATGGAAAGGGTAGCGCACTCCCCACGCAACAGGAACAGCAGCCACACGTTCATGTGGGGTTTATCCTTGCTTTACCTTTGAAACACTTTATTGGAGGGAAATAAGGAAGTCAGAATGTATTTCTGAGAACGCCATTTCTGCCAGTGTACTTCGGGGTGAACCTTCAGCACTGCAGGCTTTGATAATCGCGTATACTACTGAGTCTTCCCGTTGTGGGTTTCCAGTGTCCCACATAACAAGACTTAAAATGAATACGCCAGTAAACTCTTTCCCCAGACAGTTCATGCAGTTCTTAAATGGTCGTTTTATTCAAAGATTTAGCCTAAGTATAAAAATCCAGAAGAGGCAACATAGTGATTGAGAGTGTGGACTCTGGAGCCAAATGACGAGACATGTGCCCAGCTCTATCCCAGAAATATGCAACCCTGAGATAGCTACTTTCTCTCTCTGCTTCTGTTTCCTCAGTTGTAAAATGGGAATAATAATTATGTTTGTCTCCTAGGTTCTTGTGAGCATGAAATGAGTTAACATATGCCAGGTCCTTATAAATGTTCGAGACATGTTAGCTGCTACCATCCTCATCATCACCACCTCCACCACCACCACCACCACCACCACCGTCACCATCAAAACAAACCCAGTGGCACCTGCTGTTCCAGCGCCGCAGTGATGGAGAGTATGAGAGCACACCCAGATACAATGCAGTTATAATGAAACCAATAAAGGGTTTCTGTAGAAGGTAAGTTTTGGGGTGTGGGTTTTCTTTCAATAATTTGCTCTGATTCAAATCTTACTTATTTTAATGGTATACATTCCTCTCTTAAAATTATAAATGTTCTACCAAATGAAAGCAACTTCTTCTTCTTGAAATGAATGTTGAATTTCCTTTGAGGATGTGAGGCAAAATAGCACTGAACAAAAGGAAGTAAAATTCAGAGAACTACACATTTACCAGTCCACATTTCCCAGCATTAACCATACTGTAACTAAAAACAAGAAAGCAGCATCTATGGTCAGCCACAAAAGGGTCCCGGTGATTCATCCGCTCTAGCATCTTTCCCACCGTGGCTCGGGGAACCCTGAGGGGCAGGCAGACTAATTTTACCCACCTCCTAGCACTCCTCCTTCTTTAATTCTTGATGGATTAAGACTTTAATGAAGCTACTTTATTTTTAGCACATATTATTTCTTGGAAGGGGAAGATGATTATTTCAACAGGTTCATTATTTGTTCTTCTCGGAAGCATTTTTTAGCTTCTTTTTATATTCACCATTTCAATAGTAGACTTAACCTGCAACCATCCCCTTTCTTGAAGGACCTGACACGGTCTCCTTTATGTCTTCTTTCTATAATGAAGTTTTGTCATTCTTTTATTTAATTAGTTCTTTCTTCCTTATTCCTTTGATTATACCAATGAACTCTTTCTACTAAAAAATGTACAAATGCTCATAAACATAATTTTGCTACAATTTCAAGAGCTTCACAGATTACCTGAGGGTCATCTATGGACCTCTAAGATTAAGAAGTTCTGCTCTAGATTGTAAGTCTGTTTGTATTTTTTGAGGTAAAAGAAACAGACTCTCATTCCATTTACACAACAACAGGGCCTTGTGATATTTCTGTTGTTTTATTTCCAATGTGTTCCTTGAGGAAAGCTAGGACTTCAGTGAACAAGCTCACTGGGCCACTGCTCACAGCCACA